TATTTTTCTAATCAGCAACATCTGCGGGCTCGTGATTGTATTTTTCTGTTTAATTTTGTTAAAGTGAATGTATGTATTAATATAATGGATGATAGCAAGGATAAACTGTCAAATTTTCTGAATAACAAAACAAAATTTAATTTAAAAAGAAGAACAAGGGAGCAAGGTTAAATTTTGGAAGGGAGCAAGGGAACAAAGCGAAAAATTCCCCCCCCCCCCTGGGAGACCCTCATCTTTCGCCTTATTCAGTTATTCCCGCTCGTATTTAAATAAGGCGAAAGATACGAGAACCTCTGGCAACTAGGGTACACAATTCTTGGATTACACTTGAAACCAGAAAAATTTAAAACAAGAGTCACAAAAATGGGTGTTTTATATGTTTTGCATGTCATTACTACAAACATTCTCCCAAACGCCGATTAATTCCTCTTGAAAAGATCAAAATTGCTGACATCAGCATTATTGCCCTCAAAAATGTGCCCTCAAAAATGTGTTATAGACAAAATTGAGGTAAAAATGCTTGGTAAAAATCAAACGGGACTACTTAACTGCCATGAACAAAAATTTAGAGCTTTTGGCTCAAGCTCGCTCTTATTTTAGCATTTTAATTTTTTGACCCCCAACACAGAGTAGATATACATACAGAGGTGTAACTGTAACTTACGTTTTCATGTACCCACTTTTTTTCAGGCGACCGGACAAAAAATTATCAACTGCGTGTGCCAACCTCGTACCCAGGTTTTCAATCTTCGCTCCTACCTCGCTTGAATTGAGATTTCAAGCCAGGTAGGAGCGAAGATTGAGAACCTGGGTACGAGGTTGTGCGTGTGCTCGGCAGGTTCCGCGAGCAGTTAAAGCGAGTCGCCATCCAATGGGATGCATGCATCTAGTAACTTGCCGAGCAATGTGCACAAAAAAAGTGTGTATGCGTGTATGGTTTCCTGTGACAAATCATCAAAATAAAATAAAAAATCAGTATTAACTCAATAACCACCAAAGCAGACTGTTGTTTTCCGTTTGTTCTATTAAATATTCCGTATCTTGGCGCGATACACTACATTCTGGCGACGAGGATCACTAAAATAAGCAATAACAAACCGAAGAAATCGACTATCTAACAGTATTTTCAAACGAAATCCATAAAAACTTTCAAAACGCGAACAAGGAAATAGCTAGTACACAACCATATTTGTTCAACAAAGCGCTTGATCAAACAATTCATGGCGACTTAATTCAAATAATTTCTCATTGCCTAATTTTCCTCCGTTTGATGTTCATGTCGATGGCAACGTTGGCCCACGATGGAAGAAATGGCTAACCAGATTTGAACGACAAATATAACAGAAACAATTAAACAACAACACGTGAGAGTTAAAGCCCGAGTACCGAGGCTGTTAGCCAGATACAGCCTGAGGGCGAAGCCCGAAGGCTGTATCTGGCTAACAGCCGAGGTTCGAGGTCTTTAACTGACTTATTTCATGATTGAGGAACTTGAGGAGGTTTTCTCAAAAGAATAATTTAAGATATAATTTCTATAGAAATTGTTGTTGTTCAGTGTAATTTGTGAAGGAAAATACTGGGAGGTATGCGGACTTATTGTTGAACTAAATTAGCGAACAGATAGGTACAAAAAGAGATGAAGATCTCAAAGGAACTTTACGCTAGTTATACGCTAGTTAATTTATTCTTATTTTGTTCTTCTACATATTTTTGTAAAATTTTCTGGCCTCACTTTGACGAATTGTTTGCATTCGCACTTCACAAAATGATAGTGACGAGGAAGACTTTTCACTGTCAGGATTAACCCAAAATACATTTTTAGCGGATCCTGTTATTTTGGATGACGAATTAAGTATAATTTCAAGTATTTTAGCGACTGAAAATCTTGATTTTGGTAACAGCGAGTCTACATGTGCAAATACTAGTCAGTTTGTGTGAAATAGTATTAGAAATGTAAATCGAAGTGGTTGTAGTGTAATTAAAGTTCAATGGATTATCAATTCATGGCCTGTATCCAGGCCGCAATACTAGAACAGCGAATACTAATCCAGCCAACTTACTAATAATCTATTCAATTCAATTCAATTCATCAGCCCCGCTCTTCCCTGCTGAATATCAAAACCTTCTCCGTGCTTTTAGATGGTTGGCCTGATGACCGATATTTATGTTAAATATAGCCCGCGGAGCTTCAAAGAAAACCGACTCAATTATGAAATAAGCACTATGGCCCAGGCTCGATTTGCCCGCGCCCGCCAGTGCCTTCCTTATAACGAGGGAAGGAAGGAAACATTGAGACCAAAATAGCCCAGACTTGGCATATGTCACACGAAACTATCCTCGATTTTTCGCCTTCAATGCATTTCTTTCACAATTAATCGATATCCCCTGCAAGAATGATACCGTATAACTCTCAAAACAACGATGCTTTAATCAAAGAGCTTAAATTCGCTCTGAAATCCGTAAGGGAATAACAAAATTCGCCCAAAATATATCCGCGTGCCGGGTTTGCTGGACGAAAAGCGGAAGTCGTTGAACAACTCAAAATACGCTCAACCCTGATTGGACAATGAAAATCAACAAACATTTCAAATTTTCTGTAGTCAGTAATGTAATATAAATTTGAATTAAAACAATTAACAAATGTTGTCGGGGGAAAACCAGTGCAAGTCTAAATATTTAAATTTAAGAAGTTTAGTCAGTATAATAACGTTTGTGAATTGTTTTGATTCAAATAATCAAATTATTACAGTACTGTTCCAAGTACTGTCCCCCTTCCCAGTGCCAGTGGAGAAAAATTTGAAATGTTTGTTGATTTTCGTTGTCCAATCAGGGTTGAGTGTATTTTGAGTTTTTACTTATAACTATAATATTCCTTTAAAGAAAATAGATAATACACTCATGCATTCGATCCGTTCCTTTTTCATTGACTCACCTAAAATCATCAGTTGCACTTTGTCTTTGTTGATCAACGACATCGATATTCGGAGACCAAGTAGCTGTAGCTCTTGCGTTGTTTATCGGGCTGGAGCTCTGTGGCTCTGATTCCAATTTCTGTAATGCGTTCTTTAACGCATCTTTCGCACGTTGTAACCTTCTCTCGCACGTTGTAACCGTCGTCTTCTCTTGACATTTTTAAACAATTTAAAAAGGACAATAAACAAATGAAGCATGAAATTCTTCTTGACAAAATATGTACGCAAATTATGAAAATCAGAAAATGCAAAATGTGAATTAAACGAGTTTGATGTTACCACTTACCACACGAAAAATTTTCATTTTCCACTTTTCTTCACGTTTTTCAAAATTTCCATACGGAAAAGAGACAATTTTCTTTTACGATCCATTGCCTATCCAGTACGATCCATTGCCTATCCAGTACGATCCATTGCCTATCCAGTACGATCCATTGCCTATCCAGTACGACCCATTGCCTATCCAGTGCGACCCATGCAATGTCTATCCAGTACGATCCATTGCCTATCCAGTACGATCCATTGCCTGTCCAGTACGATACAATTGACCGTGATGACACAATAATGCTTTGACTCTGAAACAATTTTGTCCCTAATTAGACATAGACATAGACATAGATACTTTATTATAGCTCCCTAAAAAGGGCTCTTCCGCTACAGTTGATAAATACAATATATAAATAATATCTAATTAAGAACAAATTAACTCAATAAGTTCTTTCTGAGTTCATTTCGAAGTCTTTTCTTAAAAAATCTAGTGTTCTCAATTTCCTTAATATCAAGAGGCAGTTCATTATACAGTTTTGCCCCCCGATAGGAAAACATTCTTTGCCCAGTTGCAAGCCTACATTTGGGCAAATTTAAATCATTACAATGTCTAGTCGATCTGCTATGTATGGCAGAACGAGGCATAAACTTATCGGATAAATATGCTGGTACTCTGCCATGAAGGCATTTATGGACCATAACGGCATCATTTAGGAATAGTGTGTCCTTTACATTAAGCCATTTCAAAGATTGTATGCCTTCAGAAATATGGTCATATTTCCTGAGTCCCAGAACAATTCTTGCAGCAAAATTCTGCACTAGTTGCAGCTTCTTTACATTTTGTTTAGATGTATTGCTCCATATAGTTGAGCAATAAAATAACTTACTGAAAACAAATACTTCCATCAGGAGGAGAATGGTTTTTCTATCAAGCAAATGTTTGATCCGATTAATTCTTGACAGTTTAAACATGCAATTTGAAACTAATTCCTTAGTATTTTCATTATAGCTAAGATAACAGTCAATACTAACGCCTAAGGGGCTGATTACATGGTGCCGAGCTGGCCCGGTTAACCGGGCTGACTCGTTTGTTTAGGACCTTACTGTGGTTTTAAAACTCGCCTAAAATAAATTTGCGATAAATAATTGGTTTAGTATAGATGCAAAATCATCCTAAACCCGATTTAAAACTCATTTTGCGGCCAAAGGAAGATTTTCGTGACATTTTTCAGCCCGGTTAACCGGGCTGGCTCGGTCCATGTAATCAGCCCCTAAGTCTTTGACTACGGGAACAGGATTGATCACCTTTCCTAATATCTTGATGGGTGGTATCGGTGGTAGGTTACGGATCAATTGCGAGACCCCGATTACTTGAACCTTTGTTTTTTCCGAATTTATTAGAAGCGAGTTTGCACAACACCATCTCGATATCTCATTTAGATCTTCATTCAAATCAGATATAGCGCTGCTAAGATCACGTGGTGGAAAGGCGATGAAAGTTTTTGTATCATCACTCTGTATAACTCCATATTAATAAAATAATTCATTTTAATTATTCAAAACTACTGATACATTTTTCTTGGCTAATGATAGGCATAAAACGTCTTCACACAGCATGCAAAGATTACAGAATACATATAGTCACTTAGTTATGGTATATTTTTATAACATGTGCAGTAAAGTATATAATTATATAATTATACAGCATATAAGTAAAATGAGATACAGAGAAAAATTACACAAAAAACAGTAACGTGGCATTCATGGAAAATAATAAACTTCAACTTCAGAAGGACTGAAACGATGACTGCCAGCCAATAATGCGTTGGTATTACTGCTGCTATAGCTGTACCCTGATGGAGGACGGTATGTGTGGCCCAAACTTGAGTAACCTGTTGACGACTTGGCATTGTATGGAATATATAAATCATGCCCTCCTCCAAAGGTTGGTCCATAACTAGGGTTTGTGTAAATAGCATGCTTGTTGTTTTGATAAACATGAGATTTGAATGGACTGAGATTGTATTTGTTGCGGAATGAGAAGATGAAGAAGGTTGTACTTGATATGTATTGAGAGCTGGATCCTAAAACTGATAAAAATTAGCGCTTCAATCCGGGAAAATGAGTGGCATTATTCTATCACGCATTATTTTCTATTATTCCGTCTTTAATAAATTCCAAGTTCCGAGATGGTCTCCTTAGACCTTATATTCAATATTTAAAAACCGATCGAGTTTCTTTATATCATTATAAAGACGCGATTCAAAGCCGATTGACTTTATACAATGATAAATTGTCCGATCACACGAGGCTTCCAATCAGACCGCCCACGCGTTAACCAAGAAACCCGACATGATTACAATACGACGTCCTTATACAACAAAGGAAATCATGCATATGTATACTCATGCAATCCAATAACCAATATCAGACGCTTTCGTTGAACAAAGCAACGCATAGAGCAGCGCAAAATTTAAAAAAAGGTATATCAAAATCAGGTTCAAGAACAATATATTTCTTTTTGCTTCTCTAAAAAGTCTTGATGAGTTTTCTTATTGGTATAGATTGAAACTATAAAGAATCGCCTCATACTGCATTCGTTAATTTCATGGCTGAAAATCATGCACGGACATAAATATTATTCTACTCCAACAGTAAATATCACTACATTTACACTGAACACTCTGTACAACGCTGTACTGACAATGTTGTAAATCGCATAATCTGAGAACAAGGTAGATCGTTTGCAGCTTGACGAAATCGCTGGTTGCAAAACAAAGTCCGTCAAAGAATTTAGTGTAATATTGGTCGGCCTGATTTAGGGACCGTTCATTATTTACTACCTGGGGCCGGTTGTATAAAAAAGTGATTAATTTAAAGTTAGCTATGATTAGTGGAAACGTCATGCAATAAGAAGCGCGTATTTGATAGTTAATCACTATTTAACTACAAAATAGTGATTAAGAAAGTGATTAAAAGTTTTATACAACCGGCCCCAGGGGTTAGTACCGAAGAGAAGCGAAAAACACTGCAAATTTTTTATTTATCCAACCTCAACATTGGTCAAAATAATGTTCACCCAATCCATGTGTTACTGTACTGCATAATAATAGATAGCTTAAGATCTACGACGTCGACGTTAGCTAGGACGTCAGGGCTAAGCAGAGGACTGGGACTACATTAGGACGACATCCTAGTCCCAGTCCTCTGCATAGCCCTGACGTCCTAGCTGACGTCGATGTCGTAGATCTTAACGGCTATCTAATTAAACACACAAGATTATGGTGAAAGAAATCAAGTTGCCTAAATTCTAAAAGTTTACTCACACTCAAACTCACTGGGTGTGCCAAAGCAATCACGTTCCTGCTGATCAATGGTAGAGTCCTTCCTCTATCACTGATGGTCTATTTTGGTACAGAATGTATTGTACACATTTTTCTTCATATTTTCCAATGCATGGTAATTTTAATTTAGTTTTATTTTATAGCTGACAGACAGCAACAAATTTTTTTACCCAACCCATGCATGCATGAGCTATATAGTCAAAAAAGTGATTACCCATGAACCCATATCTCTTCGGTACCAACCCCAGGTATAAATATTGAACGGTCCCTTAAGTTACTATCCATCCTGTTCTTTCCATATGCAAAGGTTAATTTTTATCATCTTTGTCTATTGTCATCTAATGTCAATCCCGGAAATGCACCGGGGTGCAAAGACATGTCAATTGTCATCTAATATTTAACTGTACCGGGTGGGGCAAAAAAAAGTACGACTCTTTGATTTACTATGACTCAAAAACTAAAAGAGCTATTACACTTAAATAAATCACCCTATATTCCGCGATGTTTAACTTAGATTTTGATATATGTCTGGTGCATTTTCATGCGATTATGACTGAGATAATTGTGTTTAAACTTACGCAAACATTTTTGGAACCGCCAATAATTAGCTGAAAAGCCCCTATTAAACTAATTCAATAACCGTTACGATTTGTTCGCAATTATTGTTTCAATGAAGTGAAGTCGAAGTTATAGAAATATTTCTTCATTCACAGACTTTTTGTTGTACCATGCTGGGCAATGGATGTGAACTTATAAGGCCGATTTTATTAAAAGTTTCGTTCCTAGAAGGTATCCGATACCCGTGGGATAGGTAATCTGTATGTTCTAATGAGTCTATAGAACGAGCTGTCCCATTTCACGGGCAAGATGTTGCAATTGTGCCGGGGGACATGAATTTGCTGATGAATAGATGATTGCTTTTGAACAACAAGCGTTAACGTACTGACTATAGAGTATAACGCGTCTTAACACAAGTTGTTTTTGTATATAAAGGTATTAATATTTAATAGGCCGTTTTTAGCTTAATTCTCTCAGTTTCAAAAATGTTACTCTTGTTCAAATGCACGTATCTTTGTCAATATGGCATGGAAATGTGCATGGCATATATCAAAATTTAAGTTAGACATCGCTGAATGCCAATAAACGTGTTTTATTGCAATTGCTCTTTTAGTTCTGATGTTATACCAATTCAAAGAGTCGTACTTTTTTTTGCCCCACCCGGTATATATATATATATATATATATATATATAATATATATATATATATATATATATATATATATATATATATATATATATATATATATATATATATATATATATATATATATATAAAGCGCACTGTAGATCTAGGAATAAACTAAAAACGCAGGATAAACAACAACTTAAACGAGGCCAAAATTACTTTAGATACTTCGACAGACTTTGTTTTACATCCAGCAACTTACAAACGAAGTGCTTTATTGACAGATGTTTTTATTTACAACATCGCGTTACAGCGTTACACAATCTGCATGTTTAACTTGTAAATTAGCCTAGTATTGAATTAGAATAAATAATGTCCGCGATTTCTGTCAATAATTATATTGTCGCGCATTGTGATGTTAACTGACACATCTCCTTTTTCTATACCGTAAGTTATATGATCTTATTAGTATACGACTTTGAATGGCGTGAATATTAATTAGTCATACGTAATCCTGCATGAGGGACCCAGAATAAAGGAGTCGATTGGCCTGTATATTGATTACTATTACACTGCATTCAAAATTTAAGCGTAAGATTGCTATTCAGTCTATTCTACCATTAATAAATGTGAACCATTTTTCCGGACATACAAAAATTTTTCCGGACATACAAAAATTTTGCCGGACGTATAATTTTTTTCCGAACATACGAAATTTTTGCCGAAATTTTTGTAAATTTAGGGAAATTTTTGCCATATAACTATCACTTTTTTCCTGAGCCGGCACTCAAATATTTTCGCTGACTGCGAAAGCCATTTGTCGATAAATCAGAAAACAATTTGCCGAATCTTGCAGACATTTGCCGAGTCCGTAATGGGGGGTGTTACACCCCCTACCCCATCCCCCTCTAGCTACGTCTCTGAATCGAAGACCGGTACTATGTAGAGTGTCATTTTCAAGCTTGTATCTACAGATTTGCATTTTTTATTTCAGTGTTTCAGAATATCTAAATTTTTAGCGAAAGTTTCAACCGGAAATACAAATTAAATTGTCGAAACAATGCGATGTTTATATCCTAGCACCCGGAAAACGTCGGAAATCGATTCTAAAGGTCAAATTACCCCTCTATAGCGTGGCCGAAAGGTACGCTTAGCGAAAGGTATGGCCAGTCTATATTTTTAGCCAATGTTGATAATGAATACAAACAATTTAAGGAATTAGTTGATATTGTTTCACTGGATCGAATGGTGATATTATTGACTTCATAGCATGCACTGAACTCAAGATGGTTGGCAGCTTCTAGCGACCTACGATGCTTGGGACTGGGCGAGAAAGAGTTTTAAAATTTATTTTAGCCGTTTACGGCGAAATAGTAGAGTTAATTTAATATTTTCTGGTTTGTTTATAAAAATGTTTCTGTATTATGGATAGTTTATACGGTATCTGGCTTGATACGACAAAGAATAAAGAATAAGAATTTTATGGTTCAATGTTTGAAAAATCAACCAAGATGGTCTCGATGGCAAACGAGCAATTAATTTACTTACAGTCAAACCCCAATTAAGCGGACACCTTCGGGACCTTGCCTAAGTGTCCGCTTAAAAGGGGTGTCCGCTTAAAAGGGGTATGTAGAAAAACACAGCAGGAGGCAAAGGTGTGTAATTACAGCAGGTGTATAATTTGAGTATCAAAACAGTAAAAAATATCTAGCAAATAATTAGCATAAAATGAAAATTTCTTTGTACATAAAAGTTCATTAGAAAATGTATACGTCTCTCGCAGTCATATAAAAAAGGAATCGATACAAGTTTGCTTTCGAGGCTCACGTAGCGATAGCCATTATAATGTCATTTACATAAAAATGGCGTTGGAAAGTTCTTCCAAACCTCGAAATTGTGCCAATTCTGCCAGCTTTAAGGGCTTTGGAGGACGATTTAATGACTGGTTCGTTAAGAGACCAGTCCAATTCATCATCTTCGTTCAGTTCGTTGTCATCATCAGTGATTTGACACATATCTTTCGGCTCCTCGGCTGACGGTTCACAGTCCTCCGTCCTCGTTCGTCACTTCCTCGGTAATCTTGGCTCTGATGTCTTCGCGCCAAGTTAGTGTGTCATAGTCAATGTGCCATGTAAATTGATCTCAATTGTTATTTACTGTCGAATATTGAATACATTTTATCAGACAATCTGTCATCTGTCCGCTTAAGAGAGGTTGGTTTGCCCATTGGGACCTCAATTACGGTGTCCGCGTCCGTTAAAGAGGGGTGTCCGCTTAATAGGGGTTATGATAATAGTATTTTATTAAAGGAAACGAATGGGACCTGAGATATGTGTCCGCCTAAAAGAGGTGTCCGCTTAAGAGAGGTGTCCGCTTATAGGGGTTCGACTGTATTTTGAACGAAATTAGCTCTACGCAATAACAATTACCAATCCTATAGGCTAACCACATGTACGCAATGCGTACCTAATTTTAAATAAATTATCTTCAAAATGAATTTACATGTACTACTTACTTCCCCATGATGAACTGGAATATCCGCCGAAGATGTATTTTCCAACTTTTATGAGAGTAATTGTTCTCCCAATATTACCACATTGAAGATGAAAAATGGTCGATAGCCATCCATCTTCAGAAGCCCGATAACAGCGATTCAGCGAACTAAATGAGATCCACTGTTTAAGATTTTCAAGAAATTCTGCCGGTTCATTTCTCAGTACAGTTGAAGTTGAAATGTCTCCTATGAATTAGAGATAGATAATGCACTGTTTATACTTTAGAGCGCACTGTTTCTATACAGGGGCGTGGAGACCGGGGGTTGGCTTGGTGCGGTACCCCCATAATAATTCTAAGTATTAAAAAGTTGGTCAAACAATATTTACTGCCAGCTGGTCAAAAGGCATTGAGAAAAAATGTGCTGAAATTTAGGAAAGTTTGTTGTCAATTCGCGCTCGGCAGTTGGTCAACAGCTTTTCCAACCCAAATCCAACAACATTAATATAATTCTTTTTCACGTGCAGTTGCATTTCGCTTCTGTAGTCTATTGTGATATTCTGTAATGCGTTCTGTGTTTCTGTAGCTATTTATCGATTAATCAGCAAATACAGCGATAAAATTAACATTTCGCACTATTTATGCAATGATCCTTTGCTATAAATCAGCCATAAAGAAAAGTAACAAAATTTTATCGTGGTATTTGGGCATGTTGTAAAAGACGGACTGGACTGGACCAGACTGAACTGGACTGGGAAAACGCGGACTGAGTCCGTGTTTTACAAATCGCGGGCTGCGATTTGTGAAAGGCGGACTCATTCAATACCGTCACTTGCAACTAAGGATGAACGGTCGCAGGTAAAACATTGTCTATTCTCATGAAAACGTTCAATGTTTTTACCGAGAAAGTTAAATTTTTTGATGATCATTTGGTGGTTTTAAGGTGGCCGGACATTTTGCCGAAAGACATTTTGCCGGAAGACATTTTGCCGAAAGACATTTTGCCGAAAGACATTTTGCCGAAAGACATTTTGCCGGAAGACATTTTGCCGAAAGACGTTTTGCCGAACGGACATTTTGCCGACGGACGTTTTGCCGAACGGACGTTTTGCCGAACGGACATTTTGCAAATGGACACTTTACCGAACGGACAGTTTGACGAACGGACATTTTGCCGAAAATAGAGATACTTCTGAACTTTAAAGGTTCGCTTACATGGTCAACGTTTCTGTGATTAAAGTCATTAATTGTCGATTTTGACGACAGAAACTTTGATAGTGAAGTATAGTTTCGTTTTATATTCTTTCAAGTTTTTGAGAAGCTTACCGAAAATTCGCGAGATAAGGAATAACATCATTCAACATCATTCATGAATGTGATTCCCCCCTGTCGCCAAAAAAATTTCGGTCAGTGTACCATTTTAGGGGTCAAAAAAATTTTCCGGACAACCAATATTTTTCGGAACATAACACAAATTTTCGTAAAATCGCAAAATTTGCCAAAAAATTGACTTAATTTTAGACAAAATTGACAGAATTTGTCCCATTTTTTTTTATTGCAAACCAAAATTGCCCGACTTTTGATCGAATATTGCCCGACTGCCCAAAAAACTGGGGGGGCTACCGCCCCCCCCGCCCGGTACGCCTATGTGACCATATAATGGTAGTGGCGTGCTGGGTACTAATTTTCTGGGGAGGGCCAGTGGGCTTTCAACTTATATGCGCCCCTATATTGTAATGCTTGATAAACGAGTGTCAAAGGCACGAGCCGAGCGCCGCAGGTGCGAGGTTTCTCTAGGGGGGTCCGGGGGCATGCCCACTCGGAAAATGTTTGAATTTAGTGTCTCTGAAATGCCATTTTCGGGACTTTGGGGGGAAGGTTTGACAGAAATCTGATGGTCAGGAAACGGCATTATAACGTGATGAAATTTGCAATTTGGTTAGAAATTAGTAGTAGTACTTAAATTGGGCAATGCTAACTCAGTTCCAGCGATTAATCTAATCCCAATTATATTCTCTACTGATCTGGTGATCTGAATACATTTACAACATACAGCTCTTTTATATAATAACACGGCACGGACCCCACGCATATGCATTTTAAGGTTACCTTGCTTGACTGCCAAAAGGGCACGTTTCAGCATTATCTTATCACTTACATTACTCATGAGTCATGATGTTTCTTGCACAAACAACTAAATTGCGTACACAACTTACATTATCATAACTATCTAATTTGCGCCGCTCTCGTGATTCGTGAAGCATAATACCTTCATAATGTAAGGGCATAATACCAGCAAAAAAGGGCATAATTCCTGTGATCGCTTCGAAACCTGACCAATATTCCGGTAATGAGACATTGTGTGTGATCACTGATCATGTTTCTATATGAACGAT